ATTTATAAACTAATTGCAAGAAAAATCAACACGCAATTGGTTTGGCATTTTTGCTGGTTGTCTTCACTACTGTGCTTGTTCAGTAAAGCAGGACAAAGTGTAGTAATGATATGCAGTGACATATAGTAACTAATCAGAATTCATCTGTCTCCTGTCATCTGACTCCTTTAAATTGGTACCTGATTGTAACAATAACCTAACTGCTTTACTGAATAAACACAAATGGCACATAAGAGGTGCAAGTAGTGACAAAAGCTGAAACATTTATACTATACGTTAGTGTGGTCATTCTCAGGGCCATGACACCAGTGGGAACCTCACCACTACTAGGCTGGCTTGGCTGCTATACTATAATATCAAAGGACACACACTTGCCTAATTCATTGTAGGTAGAGGTAAGGGAAGGTTTACAGTCATCAAGTACTAAGCAGTTCCTCCACACCTGGAATGTAACTCTCCAATGGACATTTAGGCAGGTAGTAAGAGTTTTAGCATTGACTATCCTTCTCGTGACTCTCCTCTCTGTGGTGTATTGATTTGGTGATCAGCTAAGCCTATGAGAAGAGCTAACAATATAAACTAAATCCATATTAGATAACGACACCATAATCTGTTAGCACCTTTTTTTCATTATTTAGCCCTACAGCACTATCTGACGCTCCTAACTTCCATATAGTGGCATATATATATACATCTCCTGCTCTCATCTCAAAATACAAAGTCCTGTGCCTGAGTGACCTATCAGCAGTTCCCGGTATTACAACATGAAAGGGGGGTTTTGTCTGAAGCTTTTGCAAATACTATCTTTAAGAAAGATAGTATTTGCAAAAGCTTTAGACAAGATAGGTTCTTCTGGGGCTTCAGCAGCTGTCTGCTGTAGCACATTTTTCATTTTTTTCACAGGTTCACTTTAATCCATTTAAAGAAATAGAAAGTCTCCTCTATACTTATTACCCATTATAAAAGCCTGTTCTTTATTAAAACATAATTCTACTTGAAGTGACACTAAACTCAGGAGTTAAATCTTAAAAATATATTTAAATAACTTAACTAATAACAATACTGGACATTATTTGTCCATCGCCTCCTCAAATGATCTCTGAATTGGTGCAGACATTGTCCTTCCTTCGGGAGGGTGGCTGTTTTTGTTCCCCATGGTCCCTGTGTGTGTTGTAAAGTAACCACCACTCCAAGCTCACTCCCATGATGGACTACAATCTCAATAAAATTAAGCAAACTAAACATGACATTGTAGTACATTGCAGCGTGGTGCGTTGACTACTTTACAACACACACACAGGGACCATGGGGAATAAAAGTAGCCACCCTCGAGAAGGAAGGACAGTGTCAGCACCAATTCAGAGATAATTTGAGGATCTACAGCTTAATGATGCACAAATAATTATTAATACAAAATCACCTGCACCCCATACAGCATACAGACCTTAATGGAAGGTTGGTGCTTGAAGTGATGACATGGATGGGGCCGTGTCAGATACAGTCCATAATAGAAGTCACCAGCACTCGATGATATGTGCAAGAAGTAAAGCATTTTTTATTAAATTGTCACATGCATCATACAGCCAACGTTTCGGGGCCACGCAGGGTCCCTTCTTTTGGGGCGACATAGTGACGTCACTATGTCGCCCAGAAGAAGGGACCCTGCGTGGCCGCTGACATAGGGACCCTGACATAGGGACCCTGACATAGTGACGTCACTTTGTACACATTTGTACACATCACTTTGTACACATTTTCTAAAGGTGTGTGATATACGTTGCTGGCTAAGAGCTGTTTTGATATAAATACTTGTATTAATAAACAATAAGCTTCTATGCTGAGTTCGGTAACTAATAAAAAAAGTGTAGTCTTAATTTTGTTCAACTGATCACTAAATACAGCAACTGGAAGGTAAACACTATCAGTTTTGTGTTGGTTGTTTTTTGCTTTTTTGTTTTTGATACCCGGGATTTCAATATTACATGCTGCTAAACGCCATGGAATGGGACATTATACATGACCAGACAAAAAGGAATTCATGTACATGCTGCTGGTTAGTAGGGTAACAGGCAGTGCAAGAATAATGCGTATACTGTATAACATTATATTCTTGTTCAAAGTGATTCCCCAAATCTCAGTACAAGGCAGGTTATTTTCCATTTGGGGTTGGTTTCATCATTTAATAGCATTATCTGGTAGCATTACCACCATGGCCTTGCAGTGTATTGTCAATATACTGGATAACACATACTGTAGGTAGCTTTTACACTTCCTTATAATGGACATATAAACCTTTGAAATATTGTCTCTTTTCTGTCCGATTGCTTGTTGGATTCTGCCTCTACTTCCCACCTCTTTGTGTATAGGATGTTTTCATTACTGCTGTTCATTTGACCATGTGTGAAAGATGGCAGATCTTCTAAATACAAAGTATGCTTTAAACAATCTGTGTTGTACTATTTGTTTATTTTCAGCAGTGCTACGTCACTGAGTAGTAGAG